ACTTTGAGGACAAAATATTCACTTGCTGCCTAATAGATCCCACCCACTATGGGTGCTATGAAAACCAGATAATCAGTGTTATTCAATTCACCAGTCAGTGTGGTGTATAATCAGATAACCAAACACACTTAAAGGATTGAGATACTGTTACTTGGGAAACATAGGTCTACACAGTGATTCCATGTAAACATCAAAGACTGACAGAAACACTCAAGCAGTGTTACAATCTGAATAAGGTTGAGCTGCAAAGAGCAGAGCACTCAAAGGTAAGAGTGTGTAAAACTTAGCATCTTTTTTGCATTTATTATTGTATTAGCAATAATCTTTTTCATAATGTTTAACTTTGTATATATCTTAATTGCTTTATTACTTCTAGTAGCATTAGTGTTATAAGTATTTGTGGTAGTGTTGGCATGTATACTTTTTTCTTTCTATAAATATGTAGGCTACTGTTTTTGAAACTACAGTCAAATATAAATTTTTGGTATTTAGGTAGCCCACACATGAACATATGAGAAGTAAGTATTTTATTGGGGCCACTGTTAAAAAAAATATGTCCTAAAAATGTATTTGTATACATAATGTAAATGTATTATTTTTAAATAACATACAACAAATTAAACATGGTTTACCCAAGTTATAGCCTAATGTAGCTGGGGGATAGAAAGCTTACTGCCACCACGTCATACCTAATATATTAACATTTTCAGTATTTAGAAACAAAGTATACTCAAAGCAGATGGAATTAACACTAAATAGTAGATTTTTTGAATGTACTGTTGATGGATGCTATTCTCCCACAAGTAAAGGGAGGAGTAGCTCACAGCTGAAAAACATAGGTGTAACAGCGGTCAGCTGCTGTATCTTTGTGTTTGACGACTGTGTATCTGTTTCCAGCAACCTACTGTGGAAGTTAGAGTGATCAGATTACCCTAATCAGGAACATCTTACTCTGTTTCACTGTGCACTATTTATTTATGTTTTTGTATACTTGAAGTGTTATTTTTTATATTGCCTGTTTTGCACAGTGGGTCCTGAAATTTCATCTGTGCTGTATGTCGTGCATGTATAGCAGATTTGACAATAAAGCTGACTTTGACTTTGACTTTGACTTTATTTAATGTGGACAATAACAAATAGAATTAAGCACAATGACACTGGAGGGGGGATTTAATGTGCCAGATTATATCTTATATCATCTTGTTACAAATGTCAGCAGGGTAACTAAGAACGCAAGAGACTGGACCCAAAAGCAGATTCAAAATGCTGACCCAGTGCCGTAAAATTGTTTAAATAAAGTGACAATATACAAAAAGACTTACAGGAAAATCCCCAAAACAAAGTAGAAGTACAAAAACACTGGGAAACACTGGGGAAACGGCTGGAACACTTGACTTACAGACTAAGACGAAACTAAGACAAAGGAACACACAGACTAAATACACTAGTGAGAGGAGGATAACTAGACAAGTGAAACTAATCCGGGCAGGGCAGACTATCAAAACTGATGGGAAACACACAAAGGCAGGAAGTGAAGTTAATGAGAGGTGAGTATTACAAAATAAAACAGGAAACACTGATCGAATAACATTGCTTTGTCGGGTCAAAAACTGTTGAAAGAAATGGATGAAAATAAGTAGAAAAGGAGTCCTTCAAGATTTTTCCTTTTTTTGACTTCACTCTTCTTCCCCTTGGCTCCATTACAGCTCCTTACCCCATTATGGCTTCCAGACAGAGAGTCATGCTCCTGGTTACAGTGGTCCTCTCCGTGCTAAGCCTCATTCACAGCTTCCAACCTCTCTTCTCATTTAATGGGAAATCCTCCACTCACCGTGACATCACCCAAAAGGCGATCCTCAGAAAGACAGCTGAGGTCTGCAGAGACATTGCTGCCTCTGAGGGACGGGACTTCAGCCTGAGTGTAATTGATCATGTTTTAGATATTATTTTTTTGTTTTGATTATATTTTATTATGGAAATTCCTGGCGTCTTCCTGAGGTCTGGCATCTATCTTACAACGTCTCATGTCTTACGGTGATGTATATGCTTCAGCTCTCATATGTTTAATGTTTAATTGTCAAATCAATCAGAATCAATTTTTTTTTAAATTATTTTTGTTACAAACTCC